TAAATAATTAGAAACAAAAGGAAAAAAAAACAGTGAATACATTTATATATATATATATATATATATATATATATTAAATATTAAAAATTAAATAATATTTTTAAAATATAAAATGAATAATTTAAATATTATTATAAATTATACAAATTTATAACAAATCTAAAATTTTAAATATTGTTAATACTCTGTTTTTGTTTTGTTATACAAGCTTTCTTGTTTTTATGATTTTTTTTTGTAATATAAATTGATAATATTATAATTGGGCTACATATTAATAACAGTGACTAACTAGTGTGACATCTACAATCACTTACATATTAAATATACAAGTAAAATTAGCTTAAATAATTCTAATAAAATAAATATTTTTATTTTGTATTCCTACTTCGCTCCTGGAAGGAGCATAGGGCTGGTACACGATATTGTAGATAACCATGAACATCAGTTTCTTACGTCATTTAGTTTACTAGGTAGGTGAAAAGCCTACCGTAGTTATAAAATTAATATATATTGTATATTGTTGTCTTGTTAACATTCTGATGTTATACCATTTTGTAAATTTATTGTACTTTATTATTAAAATTTTCTATCATAAACACACAAATTGGTACTTCTTGAAAATTTTAAATACCTAAAAAGAAAATATGTAAATTTTAATGGCATCATTTATCTATTCAGGTGCTTTTTCTATTTAAACTGTCTTCATTTTCAGCTATGACAAAATTCTTCTTCAGCCTATGACAAAATTCTTCTGCTATATGTAAAAAAATTTCATTTTCATTAAAAATATCTTCTTCATTCTCACAAAATTCTAAATCGATTTAATCCATCAGAACAACAAATATCTCCTGTTTTATTAATTGTAGATTCCCTTTGTTTTCTAAAATTAAATGAAAAAAAAAATAATTTTTGTTTATTATAAAAATTTATTGTTGAAATACCTATTGATATTACACAAAAGGACGAACCTCGGCACAATGAAATAATCTTCAATATTTTTGGGACTAAGCTTTGGTTTTTTCTGTTTATATTTAAAAATTATTAAAAATATAATTTCAACCTTAACCAACGTTCCATCACTTCGATTTTCCCAATTGTTAAATGTCAAAATGATGAATAAAGTATGACCGTGTTATTATAAATGTAGACAAGAACATTAAATTAAAATATCCAACTAATTGTAAATTTGAATGTGGTCAAAAATATTTAATTAATTTGAAATAAATAATGCTTTTAAATTTCATCCAGTAGGATGTTGAACGTTCTGAGACAAATAACCCTCAACATACGAATCTTTTTGTTTTTATTTAATTCGCACAAAATTATTTAAATCAAGAAATTATTGTTTACACTATATATACAATTATAATATTATCATATTTATAAAACAATATTTATCTATATTAATTAATTACAAGTTTTCCAATCTAAAGTATATGATTATCCAATCATCAACAAAATTGTGCAATTGTGAATTGAAAGAAATGCGATTTATCTAAATTTAAAAAAAAATTATTTAAAAAATCATCAAAAAATGAAATTCATTTGTTTAAAAATTTAATTGAAAAAAATTTATTTTCAATAATTTTTAATTATAGAACCGAAAAAATTTCTTCCTAGTTTTAAATTTTCACCCATTATTAATTTAATATTATTTTTGACATTTCCAATAATCACTGTCTGTCACAAGAATATCAAAAATAAATAATCGATTATTATTTTATATCGTATAAGATTATTATCGTAACATCCAGAAAAAAGAAAAACTTGTATTCTATAATTATAACATTTTTTTCTCTCACACTCTCTCTCTCTTTTGTTATATTGTTAAAAATGTTCTCATGAAACCTAGTTTTAAAGACAAAAATTTATTTTTAACTCTGTTACATACATTCATACAAATTTTATAACATAGTTGTTAACAGAAATTTTTATGATGATGAATTCGAAATTCTTTATTATGTTACATATATATATAATATTTATTATGTTTAATAAAATAATATTATTAATTATATAATATGCATAAAATATAATGAGAAAAAATTAATAAAAAAAAAATATTTTAATTTCCTATATATACATTTAAAGTAAATATAAAAAAAAATTAAATTAAATTCTCACTAATCTCATAAACACACACATGGCATACACACAGTTTGTATATTGTTATTGTTAATTTAGTTAAAAATAATAAAAAAAAAATTGAAAAAAAAATTAATAAATAAAACTTATAAGTATATTTACAAACATTTTTCAAAATTTCAATAAAAAATGTAAAAAAAAAATATAAAATTTTTTTATTACTAATATAAAAATAAAACAAACAAAAAAAAAATCAATTTAAAATTTAAGACAAAATATGTTTCTTTTTTTTTTTAATTTATTTGTTTAAAAATACTAATTATATAATTATATTGTATATATATATATACAAATTTATAATCTTATAAAAATTATTAAATTTAAAATATTTAAATTTTATATAACAAAAAAAAAATTATATTCAAAGAGAAAAATATTTAAAATTAAATTTTTTTCCATTTATTTAAAAAAAAATTATATAATCAATTAAATAAAATATATTTATTTTTTTTTTGTATATAATAAAATATAATTAAAAAAAAACATTTAATATAATTCACAATTTTTTTATATATATATATATAAAGTAAAAAAAAAAACACGAGCTAAATAATAAAAAAAATTTTTCATTTTTTTTTTTTTCGAAATCTCAAATAAATTAAAAAGAAAACAACAAAAAAAATGAATTTATATACATATTAAAACAAATAAAAAAAAAATATTAAAAGTGAGAAAAAAAAATAATTATAAGCAAAATTTAAAATAAAATATGCAAAAATTATAAAAAATTCATGAAAAACAAAAAAAAAAAATATTTTTAGCGTTATACCGAAACAAAATTGCAGAAATCATAATTATTTTTTATTAAAAACCAAAAACAAAAAAAAAACCAATTAAAGTAAAATTAAAATATAAAAAAAAAAAATAAATTTCAAAATTCACAAAAACCAAAAACGAAATTCATTCAAAAATAAATTATTAATAAAAACAACAACAACAGCAACAACAACATTACATTTACCACATAGAAACTAATTTACATACATATACATATATGTATTATATATAACTGTATATATACATAAATATACTTAGATATACATGTATATGTTCGTATACAAAAAAAAAATATATAGAAAAAGAAAAATAAAAAAGAATCATTACATTAAAAATTTAAATATAAAATGACACAAAACTAACAAAAATAAAAACAAACAAAAAAAAAAAAAAACAGAAGAAGATAAAATAAAATTAAAATACAAAAAACTTGTAAAATAAAACAAATTTAATTATATAAAATGCAAAAACTGAATAGACTAAAAAAAAAATATTAATTTAAAGAAAAAAAAAAATATATTATAAAAAAAAATAAAGAAAAAAAAAATGTTTATAAAAAACGAACAGGCATTTTTATTCAATCACAAAAAAAAAAACAAACTCAAATTTCAACCATTTTTAGATTAAGCCAACTAACATAATAGGTTTTGCAAGAACCCGAATGAAGCATAGCGAATAGAACAATACTGGAATCCAAATCCTAATGACCTTAAGGATAACATTAATATTGTTAGGGAAATCAACTTTATTCGAGACATGGGGTTGCTCTAGGACTTTGGTCCGAAAACATAATGACGCCTTACTTTTTCTATACGAATTTGTCAAAAAAACTATACAGATGGGTGGACGTAGGTGTGTATAGCAAAAGTGTAAATATCACAAAGGCTCTCGGCCACTATCCATCAATATTTCAGCCTGAGACATATGCTGTTGAATTTAATCTTCTGAAGTGCATCATAAGGACCCTCAGGAGGAGCAGGATTTTTATTATGTCGGTCAGCAGGGCAGTTCCTGGGACCCTTTCCTCTGATGTAGTGAAATCCAAATGCGTTGATATCCTTGGCGTCCTGAACAGGTACAACAACATAACTTTAGCTATGTTGTTGTCTTAAAAAATTTGCGTCTTTCTTTGGGGTCGGAGAGACAGAAACTGACCACACTTGGTCGTCAAGATTTTAGGATTTTGGCGGATGTACTAACTGGACAGTGCCTCTCGATGATCCATCTCAAAAGGATGGGTAAGGCAGGAATCTGTAGATTGCTGTAAAAAAAGTATTGTTTGCATATTTTGTCATCAACCTCACGTCTAATGGTAATAGGGAGACTATTTAACAGGTTCGTTATTATTAAAATATTAATGTAAATTAAGCAAGAAAAATAGTACAAACTAGAAGACTATTAAAAAAGATGAAAGAGTTGCAAGCATAATGAAAATCGACCAAAAGACAAATTTTTCTGTCAATCTAATTTTCTTTAAGCGTCGAAAATTACTCTTAGACGACCGAGTCTGGCCTATGCCTCCACCACACAAACAATTTTTTTTCTAAAATACTATCCAAGAAATCGTTTAACGAGAGCTTAAACACCAGTTCTGATCTTCCGGATCATCCTGCCCCGTATTGATATTACAATAGAATAAATCTTTCAAAATTACCAAACTACATAAGAAGGTATAGGAAAATCTGTATCTACATCCATACATAACTACATATATGTATTTGAAATTAATTTGCAATATTTAATTTAAATTTTTATATTTCAAAAGTATATTTATATGAACAGGTATATGCTATATGTATATTCATGGCACATACCTGTTCATAATCAGTTTGTTTTACGAGAACGAAAATACGAAAGCTCTAATCTAACTCGGAAAACAAAAATATAAACAAAATGCCACAGTCAACTTTTTCACTTCTCAAAATGCAAATTAATTTTAAAAGATTCAAAATAAAATTAAATTAAAACACAAGTTAAACCAGTTTATCTATGTAGGTATTTGCAATCTTAATAAAATTATCAAAGCGAAAATTAATTTTAAATAAAATATTCACCTATGATCAGAATGTTCTGATCATTCAAGACCAGTACACCATTACAATTTTGCAAATATTTAATTTTTTGTACTGTTAGTTTTTGTTTTCTTTAAAATGTCAAATTCTAAAATATATGATCAATTAAGTAAAAAAGATAAAGAAGTTCTTGATTCTGTTTTTAATCCTTATCAAATCGGTGGTGAAGTTGGTCCAATAGGAATTTTTAATGCCGAAATAACAGATGATATTATTGATCCAATTGAAGAGAATACACCTGAAATTGAAAAATCAAAAACATTAGAAATTGAAGCTGTAAAATTAGCTGAAGATGGTAAAATAGATAAATCCTTAGAATTATTTAATAATGCAATTGAATATGGATCACAAAGGCCAACATTATACAATAATAGAGCACAAAGTTATCGTTTAAAAGGAGATGATAAATGTGAGTGAATTTTATTTTGAATTTCTTAATAGTGTTAAAAAAAATTATATCAAAAATTAATTTATTTACAATTAGGTACATTGCAGATATGTGCGTAAATATTTTCAAGTTTCTATATAAAACGTGAAAATTATTATACAAAAACCCAGAATTATTGTGTTATGTATAGTACTATGTATATAATATACGATATACAACACTCATAATTTTACCCAATACAAAAACCAACATTCTATTAAATATTCAATATTCAAACCATTTTAACGAAAAAAAACTTTCGTTGTAATAGGTGTGCCAACACAAAAAAAAATTAAAATTTGAAACCGTTAACTAATATTTTGAATTTATATTTCAACTGTCAGATATTAAATAACTTATCATTTATAAAAAAAAATTATTAACAGAAGTGTATGCTAAAATAGAAAAAAGTTAACAATTAAAATTTAAAAATAAAAATTAAATTACATTACACTCTATTGGAATCTAGACTAATTGATGTTTGTAGTAAAATATTATAGGATGTAGTTTTTTGCCCCCACATAAAATTTAATAAAGAATTGATTGTTATGCAAACTGTCATATTTCTCTCAATTCATTGTTCATTTATGATCCATGCACTCTAAAAAATAAACATTAATATACTTACATTTGAACAGCACTACCACATTTTCAAAAATTCATTTGAAGATGAATTGGAAAATGTATAATATTCCCTTTATTTTGTCTTACCCGCTTTTATAATAATCAAAATTCGCTATTTAGGTATGAAGACCAATCCAAAGTAAATCATACTTCCAAGTAGGCAAACCAATCCACAGTAAATCATACAAATTGCATTGCTTTAAAAAAATACTCAATATTTGTAAAAACTGGAATAGAATTGTGATAGTCTAATAACGCATATCTATTGAAAGTGAAATATGTATAAGATCATGGGGAACCTTTGTAACGTCTTCTATCAAAAAAAAAGGGTCGTACAACATAGTCGGTGCGATACTATAACGGCAACAATCAATTTATCAAAATTATAATTAAGCCATAAATTTCATCTAATGAATTTGTCAGGCAAATGCAAAAATTTTATATTTTGCTTACAATCAACGTCGTACGATCTTTCGATTATTTCCTACGGGTCCTCGAAAAATCATTAATTTATACTCAAAAATAATTCACATTTCAAGTTATCAAGGGTACTTATGCTATAAAAGCAAAATATATTTAAAACAAAATAAAATATTCAAATTGACATCAGAATTTAAGTTCGAACTGGCTTCATAGTCAATAAGCAAATATTCATATTATTTCTCACTATATTACATAAAATAAATGCTACTCACATTTTTATATTGTCTTATGTAACAAAATATAAAAATACTTAAAAATAATCTGACAATTGATGCACACATAATATAAATGTCACTGTCAAAATTACATTATTTTTTAAATTCATTTTTTGACACAAAATTAATAATATTATTATAATTTTTTCAAATTTTTTAACATCACATATTTTAATTTAAAAATATTCTTTAATGTTATCATATTAAATACTTATTATATAATAAAAATATTATCTAATAAAATTAATATAAAAACAAAAAATGGTTTTTTTTATTTTAATTTTTTTTTTTGTTTTTTTATTAAAGCGGCATTCAATGATCTTAACAAAGCAATTCAACTTTCATCTGATTTTAATTATAAACGTACAGCATGCCTAGCATATTGTCAAAGGGGTATATTACATCGTAAATATAAAAATATCGATGAAGCAAGACATGATTTTGAAGAAGCCGCAAAATTGGGTAGTAAATTTGCAAAAACTCAGGTATAAAAATTTTTTCGTACTTATGTATATATATTTGTATATATATGCAATATTAAAAAATGTATATGAGATGGTGAACATATGTAATATCTATATAATATAAAAATAAGAAAAACAAAAAAAAATATCAACCAAAATTCATACTTCAACAAAACAATCTCAATTTCACCTGTTCCAACATGCGAATACATTTATAATTGAAACCAATTAATTTTTCTTACATGCATGTGACACTTTTTTTTTATTATTTTTTTTATTTTTTTTTTTTCTTTTTATACTTTTTGGTCAATTTCCAATCCTTGCTCTTCTGGAATTATAAAAATATTTTAAACAACAAAAAATGCAATATTATTACAACGCTATTGTATGACAATAATGATGACGATGACGGTGATGATGATCATGATAAAATTTATTATAATATTGTAATAATGATGATATGATCATGTTTGTTATTACTCTTACACTAAAATATATAACTATGATGATGTAAAACAAAAAAAAAAATAAACAACAATCAAAAAAATATTTGTGGCAGTTGGTCGAAATCAATCCTTATGCAGCACTTTGTAATCAAATGTTAAGAGAAGCATTTCAGAAGCTATCATAAAAAAATCAACATAAAAACCTATAAAATAAAATATCAGAAACAAAATTACAACACAAAACAAAAAACAGAACAGAAAAAAATCCTATAAAATAATTTAAAGGCAAAAAATACGAGTACTTGTACTTATAAAATAAATGTAGGACACAAGCCAAAAAACTGTAGGTATGTATATATAAAAAGGACACAGGACAATAATTTTAAGATTGTGCCATGCCATCATTTATTGCAATTCAATTTTTGTTTTTTTTTTTTTTGTCTTACAGATGTATACATTCTATCATTTGTCATCGCATTAATAAAATATCCTTAAAATATATTTTTGTTTCTCTTCTTATACATTTTATGCATAATTTTTGTATATTTATGCAAGTATATATAAAGAAGAAAAAAAATCAATTGTTGTATTTTCATTATTTTATTGTTTATAATTTTGTTCTATTCAACAAACAAATAAAATATAAATAAAGAGTATTCGAACATGTTGTATTCCTGTTGCAACAAGTTGTATTAAGTATCAAACATGGTTTTCTGAAAAAATGTAAGAAAAAATGTTTCTAATTACACAAGTAAAGGAATGTAAAATATAATTCAATATGCATATTCAATTGAGTAACCTTTGAGGCTGCGTTAGGTTGCTTTATACAACAGCTAATGAATGAATCCTTAAAATTTGCATTCAAACATTTTTATCTCACAGGTTTAACGTCTAACTTTTTGCATTACAACTTCGAAACTAATTGAGACACACATTATTTAAATTTGATAGAATTTACAAAAAAGAGGTACTCTCACTTCAAATTTTACAATAGGCATGATAAATTTTGCAAACATTAAGGTAAGAAATACGAAAGTAAATTTAGATGGTTTTTCCTTGCAACCACCGAATTATTATGTCAATTATTATGTCAAATTAATATGAAGTATTTCATTTTTTTCATATTATATTTTTAAATAAAATAATTATAACATTAATCCGTTAGCTCACAAGACATGTTTTTATGCATCTAATCTAATAATCCCTAGAAATTAGTGGAACGTTACACATTTCCTAATGAAATTTCTATACTACGTATTCTAAAATTATGGGTAAAGAAGTACATATTGCGTGCAAAACTAAATATTTTATCAAAATGTTGCGTACTGAAATAGCCCTTTAATATACACAGTACCAATTGGCGGGCCTAACTCCATATTACGAATAAATGCTCCCCCATTTAAAAGTAAATGATATGTAATAAGAGTTTTCAATTTGTTAAGTCAAATTCAAAAATCCTTCTAATTTTTTTTTTTTTAGAAAAATGTGATAAAAAAGTGCACTTGCCATGTCCGGACTGACCAGAAGATTATTATTAAAGATTTTTCTTATTTGTTTTATTCATTATGCAATAATGCAAAAATTCAAAAACAAATTCCCAACAGAAAATGCAATGCAGTTGAGGACAAATAGTTTTTTATTTTTTTGTTTTTTTTTTTTTTTTATACATTGGTCCGGGTGTATTAAAAAGTCAACTTTTTTAAGAAAACAAAAAGTAAAAAAAAAAAAGTAAATGCAAAAATGTTCAGTACCTACCATAATAAAGAATTTGTTGAACTCATAAAAATCAACTAACTAACTAACTTACTGACTGAATGACTGACTGAAATGTGGTGACCGGTATAATATAAGAACAATAACAGTAAAACAGTTGAAAAAACTATTACATATTTTCATTTTTACTTATTTTTTTTTTCATCTTGTTACTGAAAAATTATGTCTGCATAACAAATACGTAATTATATTTTTACATTATAAATTTAATAACAAGTTTTGGATCGTGCAATACGAACGTAGTTTTGTTTGTAGTACCGTCAGGTGGCGGTGTTTTTTTCAATTTCGAATGTCACCTACGTGTTACGGTTTGTAGCTAGATTTTGGACTTTCGAATTGAGAGATAAGAGCAAAAGCATTGCTCCTCCGACCACCAAAGCCAGCCACGACCTGATATTGTAGCCACATATCCCGTAATATCCAAATTTCAGTGTCCGATGTATATAACCGAAGATACCTCTCAGGGAGTTGGACGGAAACTCCATATCCACCTGGAGACGGCCACGCACTCCGTTTGCCCAGTTTCTGGGTAAGATGTTTCACCGTGCAATGCCCAATGAAGAAGCCAGTAATAGGACGAACCCGGGTTTCGACCCTTCCAAAGCGGTTCTGATGGGAACTTCCTTGAGCAAGATGGAAGGAATAGCTTCGGGTTATGACATCTCTCTGTAGTTTCCCAGCGAAGGTGCCATTTCCCTAAGGCAGAACGTCAAGTCTGCAAAAAACAGTAGTCCGCAAAAGGGGACAGCACCAAAACCTACCTAGATGTGACCTAAGCCAATTGGAACGCCAACAACGCTGCTCTGCTGTCTAAGAGCACATAGATAAAGCGATTTTTATATCCGCTTTTTAAGTTCACTCTCAGGCATATCTCCATAGTATATATTTCAGCTGGACACACCGAGCAATGCGGGTACAGGCTTGTACTTATACGTGTGTTCGGCCGCACTCTCTACACATCCGCGCCCACGCGGGGTCCGTTTTCATCTGCGTATCAGAATCAGTCTCAAAAAGTGGACCACCTTGTACCACGATCTGGTTATACCGTCATGGTCGAAGTTATACCGCGGGAGACAGACGTCCGAGAATGGGATCTTTTCAGTGCCGTAAGTAAGTTTTTTTCCTGCGAAATTATCACGAGTAAGATGTAAGTAAATTATTAGTCGAGATTCAAGATATTTTTCGAATTACATTTCACAAGTTCGAACATAAATGCACATATCGTTAATAAAAATAGCCAACTTTCAAGTATTCTAAACTCATATGACTGAAATTTAAAAGAAAACTACCGTTTATTATCAAAAGAAAATAAGATCCTAGAATGACCAGGAACAACTCTCTCTCGATAGAATTATAAATTAGTTTATGCACTTTTGTTTTTGTTATGCCTTTTTTATCCTTTTCGCAATTATTGGGGAGATTTTTCCCTTATTTTGATATTTGTTTTCTGTTTTCTTTTTTCCTTATTCTTATTCTTTTGTTTATTACTTTTCTTGTAATCTTTTTTAGGTCGAGTTTTGAGTGCATAAGGAATTACAGTGTAATTGCATACAAACAAAAATAAAAAACAAGATAAAAACGAAACAGAGAAAAAAAAGGCGCAGACTTGCACCAGTAGTTTAAAGAAAAAAAGTAACACAAAAGAGGCAAGAAAAATAAGAAAACCGTTTCACCTGCATCTTGGCACGCGTCTTTTAGCTGTCGATTTGAAAAATTTTTTTTTACTTATATTTTTTGTTTTTTTTTTTGTACAGGTAATTGTCCAAGTTTGTCCACGTTTTACATCGTATTTACCTTGTAAAGGTATTACTTTACCGCGATTGCGCAGGTAATTTTATTTTTCTTTTGCTGTCCTTTTCATTATTTTTCTCCTTTCTTTTGAATTCATAACTAAATCGATATTAATTTTAGCCTGTGTTGTTTGTATTGTGTGATGACGATTGTTAAAGATAAAAAACAAACCAGAACGAGAAAAAAACAAGGAAAGAAATGAAATTTTTTAAGTCAATTTCAATAAAAGGAGAGCATACAGACGGAATGTGTATGTGGAAATGTTCGTGTATTAAATTTATTGATGTACAAATTTATGTAGATTCTCAAGTATTAAAGATCTTGTCATCATGGTCAGCTGCAGTTTTAGTTTGGATTTTTCATCTCAACTTGTTTCTTTTTTTTTAATTTATTTTTTTGACTCTATCCTGCTAGATCATTTTTTTACTATTTTATTTTTTGTCTCCTTTGTGTATTAAAATTTATGACACCCATTTCGTGTTCTAAAATTAAATTATACTAATTTGTTTTTGGATAAATTTTATTAAAAATCATATGTAATTCAAATATAGAAAGCTTAATTTGATTTTAATTATTTCATGAAAATTATATGAGTCAAAAATATCAACCGATCAAATCAATACTTTAGTTTATTAAATGGCATTATTCATTTTAAAAATTCAAACATACTCACCTCATCTTATACCTTACTCAGTTCACTGTATGCATAGTATTCGTCGATTTCTAAGGGGCATTCGATAGGTTACAAGAAGGCTATATAGAAAATGCTCGCAAACAGGGTGATCCCTGATAAAAAAGCCACGCTAGTTAAAAATATGTACATAATACAGACACCAGAGTGCTACACAACAAAGTACTTAGTGACCCAGTAAGAATGGAAAGAGGTGTCAAGAAAGGTGTCCCTAATTTCGCCGATACAGCTTTTCAACATCATGTTAGGTAAGCCAATGAGAAAAACATTAACGTCATCAAGAGTAACGTCATTCAGTGGTCTCTTACGAATCGCCTAAAAGAGCTTGACTATGCAAATGATATAGGAATCCTTTCTCATAAGTTCGCTGATATGATGCGAACTGCCTGATAAGGTGATCTTCAGGATCTGTCAATCAAAAGCAAAGTAACTCCGCATCAATACAAATCACGTGGGCTGCTTTGTAGTAAATTTAAGCCCAATAGAGGATGACACGCATTCCAGCTACCTTGCTGACATTAATACAATTTGAAGAGCAGTTTAGAACATTAAAAATAAAATTAAGAATTACATTTTAGCGACTGTGGGGAATTTAGAAATTTTCATATTTACCCAGATCAATAAAGTTGAGAATATTCAATAGCCGTGCTAATCCTGTTATATGATAAAGAGACCTGGTTCGTACGAAAACGTAAAACGGAGAAACTATAAGCAATACTAAATAATTACTCACGAGTTCTCTGCAATCGGCATTGGCCCATATGTGTAACTCTACAGTTTACGAGTAATATAACCCTAAAAGATTAAAGCTTTTATATCAGATGTTATGGTGCAAGGTTGAATTATATAATCGGTTAGAATCAACTGAAACGTTTTTAACATTGGTTTATCTTTAGTGCAATTATTTCCCAAATCCTTAAATAATTTTAAAAATTAGTACATTTTTGATTCGAATACTTTGAAAATTTGTTCAACCTTTTCTTATAGGTAATAACAATTTTCATTATACCCGTAAGAACGTATGTTCGAAGGGTATACTAAATTTGCCTTACCGTTTGTAACGCTAAGAAATAACGGTCTTAGATATAGACTAAAGTATATGTTTTTGATCAGCGTCGAATTCCGAGTTGATTTAGCTTTGTCTGTCCGTCCGTCCCAACGATAACTCAAAAACTAATTGAGCTAAGTTCAAAAAATTTTCACAAATAATTTATTGTAGTAAGTGCCAGAACTCTGTTTAAATTGGACATGATCGGCGCACTGGTTCGGGTAGCTGCCATACAACTTCAAAATTTATTTAGCAATATCTCCGAAACTATAAAAACT